TCAAGGAACTTTCTAGACCTTCACGCACCCTTTTCACTCTACTTCTCCTTGCACTTTTTTTAAACACCATTAAACATTATAATCCAAGCGTTTATTATTTGATTGAAGAAGTCAAGAACTGCAATTACACTAAATAACTTGTTACCGGTAAGAAGGTTCTCCAACAGCCACAATTTTGTTCTCCAGTTGACACATACGAGCCAGCATCCATACCTAACGTCATATCACTTGCTCAAATCAACATTCCTCTAAAACACTAAGGGTAAAAGGGTGATTTACCTCATTTTCAGCTGCGTCTTTTAAATCCTTAATACGAGATTGAAGCGTGTCATACTGAGACAGTAGTTGCTGCCTTATAGCAACTGTTTCCACAACTCTTTGAGGAAGCTGGTGAAAAAAAAAAAAAAAACTTAAATTATAGTTTTGGATTGTTTTTAGCAACATTATTAGGAAGCAGACTTACTCGATTTAATTGTGGAAAAACTAGACCATTTAAAGTGGCTCCAACAGCTAAAGAGGAAACAGCTGCAACTGTAATAAACTGAGGTAATCCAGGATCTATCATTCCTGAGGCCATATCTCCAGTGGCTAAGACAGTGACAAGTGGAAAGAAGACAGTAGGGGTAAATAAGGAAAGTGGTTGGTTTTTAGTCGGGGCTCTGAGTAATGGTGATTCTCTGGCGTCTTGATGATTTGTTAGAGACATAGGCTGTCCAGGGTAATAGTTGGGGTTTTTGGGGCTAAATTTTAGGGGGCCCACTTCTCTGTAGAGACTTGATGGAGCTGCTAAAGCAATTGTCACACGTTCCCCTTCTTTTGCAGGGAGATCAACTGTTTTAGTAGCAAACCTGTGTGTTCGAGCCATTCCAGATGGTGTCTGTACCTATGAGAGATAATACAGGATAAATTTATCAACAATCGAATGGTGGATTATATATATATATATATATATATATATATATATATATATATATATATATATATATATGCATCAGAAGAAGCAAAGAGAGAAGTTATTACTTACAACAATGGAGTGAACAGCAGCAGGAGTAGTTTCTTTGAGTAGCTGCAACAACTGCAGCCCTCTTTTCCATGCAGGTACATCCATGCTGCGTTCGGACAAAACTGTAGAGATTATAAAGTATTATTAAAAAGTAATGGATAGAAATAGAATCCTACATAATTTTATTTTTGGCAATCTAGTGTAGTGACAATTCAGAGTAGGAAATAGGAATAGAAACAAACAACCAACCTGATTTCTTCTGACTCAATGCTAGTTATGTTGCCTGAAACAAGCTCGTATTGGTAACGGCATTTGGAGCAGGAAACAATCTGCATGAGGACAGTAATATCTGATAAGAAAGCATTAAAGGAGGAAATATTTATATGATTAGCTTTCACATGGGCCTCCTTTTGTTCCTGATACTGTTAAAAAGGGGGAAATTAAATACATCTGTGAAGGCACCTGAATACCATTTTGGGGTTGTGCAACAGCAACAGCTATCATGCAAGTAGGACATCGTACAATCTTACCAAAAGGGACCTGCACAAGGATTTATAAAATAAGAGGCTACAGAAATTGATTACAGTATATAAGAAATTATAAACACCAAACTTCCATGCAATATTTATTTAGTTAAGCTGCTAAAAGAGTAAGTGCAGTGGTTGGTGAGTGTACCTCTTCACCTGGAGATACTCCGACTCTGCAAACATTAGCAATGATGGTAAGAGCATCTGAAACCCTCAATGATGCAGCTAGACCCCGAACCAAGAGTGTGTATGTATTTACATCAGGTCTCGGCCACTTCCATACATCACCAACATCTTTATCTCTAACACCTACCTCTTCTATCAAATGTTAGTGCATTACCAAATCATGATCATATCTTCAAATTTATCAATCTTTAGCTACTACAGTTATATGCCTTAAAATCAGAAACTATGTTCTTGTTTTTCATATGCTTCATCTACAAACACCCATGTATACATGATTCCACGTTTAGTTCTACTCCTTTCACTCGAAAGGTGGTTTTAAACAGTCAATTATAATATTTTTCCATTGATATGAATGCATCTAATGTCTGAGTCACTAACATACTTTATAAGCTACAAACATATGTTAATCTTCAAAGAATCTGGAGAGAGATTCAAGCTTTTCGTCTTCATTATTGAATTGATAACTCAACAATTACAGAGCAACACTGAATATAAGCTATGTAAACAGAAAACAAACTCAACCAGTCTGTAACTAACTCTAACTGAATTCTAAGTTAAATTACATAAATGCTCTTTCAATAAAAACACAATTTTGCCCCTTCTGGTTTAAATAAGCTGACAACATATGTATTAAGATCAGATAGCTTAAGGTAGCTACAACTTTTAAGTCCAAATCAAACAAATTTGTACCACTTGACTTGTAGAATTTTGAAACTATCTTCGGGTTCCTAGTTACTTTTCAAATATCTTGCAAATGTTACAGCACAGGTGCTTAAATCAAGCAAACTCCTACCAGAAATGAATTAGGAGTTCACAAGTCCTAATGGCCGAGTTGATAACAGGTGCTACTGAAATTTATTTCTCAGCTTACTTAAACCAAATATCCTAGAATTCAGTAACAAACTCCTCTAAATACAAAAAGGTTACAAGACATTAGATGTCTAAAATCGATAAAAGTTGTAACAAAATCGAATTTTAGGACTCCGTAACTCTCTAATTTCGGAATGGAGGCAATAATACGTATATACCTGCATTGAAACTCGACCGCATGGCTTTGAAAACGGACAGTGCCAAATCCGCATTGTTCCTATCAAGCGCAGACGAAATAATCGAACAGCAATCAGAGGTACTAATGGCACCACCGCTTCTCTTAGTCATTTCACCAAACACCTCCAGTGCTTCACTCGCGTCTTTTGCAGCCGAAACTCTACTAATAATCAACTCATAATCATCATTACCAGCATCATCACCAGCTACTACAGCACCTTCATGATAGCTCTCGCTCAACGAAGCCTTGATATTGTTATTATGATTTGGAGTGCGAAAATTGCAAAAAAGCTGCCATTTTGACGAATTTGCCGCAGCTTCGTTGGATGTCGAGAGGAAGCGCTGATGGTGAGTGGAGTGAAAATACAAACGATTTGGCCATGGAGAAGTTAAGTTGAGCGTCATGCGTTCTCAGTATCTGTGTGTGTAATGGAGATGAAATGAGTGTGTGTTGGGGTGGAGAAGATGAGGAACGAAAGGTTGGAAGCAGTACGAATGGAGGGAGGGATTGGAATCCAGTGTGGGTGGGTCCCAAATGGAGAAAAGATAGAAATATACGCCCAGAGGATAATGAGCGATCGATGGAAAAAAATAAAATAATATTATTGGAGATGCGGGGAATCGAACCCCGTGCCTCTCGCATGCGAAGCGAGCGCTCTACCATATGAGCTACATCCCCAATTTGTTGATTGTGTTCTCACGTCTCGATAAATATTATGTAAAATAGAAAACTAAAACACGTTTGGTTGTTGAAAATTTTTCAGTTTTCTTTTTTTGAAAACGCATTTGGTTCGTTCAGTTTTCCAAATTTTTCCAAGAAAATGAAAATTTTCACTTTTCCAAATTCTATGTAAATTAGAAAAGTGATTTTTACAGTTTTCCTAATTTCTAAGATGGAAAATGAAAACTCCCCCGATTTCAACCAAACGCGTTTTCTAAAATTTTCATTAAAAATTGAAAACGAAAACTCAACTTTATTTTCTGAAAACATTTTCTTAGAAAATGAAAACAGTTTTCCACAACCAAACGCAACCTTAGGTTGCGTTTAGTTACGGAAAAACAGTTTTCATTTTCTGTTTTTCGTTTTCTCTTTTCAGTTTTCGTTCTCCGTTTTCGGCTTTCATTGGAAAATTTAGAAAACACGTTTAGTTAAAACTTATTCATTTTTCATTTTCGGTTTTAGAAAATTAGAAAACGTGTTTAGATGTGTATTTTTCTATAGGTTTTCAATTTTAGAAAACGGTAGTAGTGGTATGGTGTGGGTGGGGGCGGTGGCGGTGGCGGTAGCGGGTCGACGGTGGTGGTATTTAAGGTTTTATATATATATATATATATATATATATATATATATATATATATATATATATATATAATAGTAAAATTTGAAACAATTATATGACCGTTTATATTTCTCTATCATTTGTATCGATGCGTAGCCCAACCTATGATTGTTCACAATACAACTACATGGGGGTGGTATTTAAATGAAAGTCACGCGTGACTTTCTTTGCCAACTCATCATACGCGTGAGAAACTGTTGTCATTCCTTATAGCCTAATAAGGCTAAAAGGAACGGGTGGAAGATACTTACGCAAAAAGAGATCGGCCACATCAGCAATTAAATATCAACTCTACTAGGTTCTCACCGGCCTTAAGAAATGGTGTTTCATTAGTAAGTTGATAGTAAGTGGGAAGAAGAAGAAGAGAGAGAGAGAGTGAGGAATGACAGAGATTGTGAGGAAACGTAGCCTCACTCACGGGTCACAAAGCCAGAAGGCAGGGGTGGTGTTCCACTAGTAAGTTGGTAGTGAATGGGCTTCCATGTCATCATACCCGTAATAAGAAATCCTTCCCACTTTGTATAGCCTAATCATCATATTAATAAGAGAAGTAATGGTTCAAATGTACACGACAAAACTATTTGAGTAGTAGCACCGCTATTTGCCGCCACCATATCAACTCACTCTCATCCTCCATATTGAAACTCGAAGATAAACAAACCCAACGAGGCCAACTCATGGGTTGTTCAATAACCCATCGGGAGAGGGAGCCGATGATTGTTGTTATTTTGTAAAATAATTTAGAAAAAGTGCTGAATATATATGGTCATTTTATTTTACTTGAGTGACTAACTCAAATATATATCCTTTTTGAAGAAAAAAAAAAAGCAATCTACAAATAATTAGTACAACTCCAGTAATCAAAAATGAATCAGGACCAAAAATCGAGATAAAACATCAGGCCAAAAAGTAGCTTTCAATATAAAACTATTCCAACCAAATACTCGTTCGTCTTTAACAACTAAAAACATGTTCTTTAAGCATGGATCTCCTTAAACAACAAAACTGATATACTGATTTCCTGATTTCCTCATTTCTATAGAAGAAAATGAAAACAATTTTATTCTTTTGCTCTTCTTATTCTTGCACCAAGAAAAGAAACTACTAATTTTTGACTAACACGCGCGAGGAAGTATTAAATGCCATGGCATCAGTTGTCTCCATACACCCACTTTTCTTGGTTGCTTGTGTAACTTGACACCTCCTCTGGTTTGAACCATAGGTTTATTTCATCCTTTGCGGTTTCTGGACCATCACTTCCATGGATGATATTCCTACATAACCAAACAGTCAGCATAAAAGATGCCAGACATGATATATAACATAGAGGAGAGCTGTTAATAATAATAAAAAATAATAATAATACCTTCCAACAACAACAGCCAAATCACCTCTGATGGTTCCAGGCTCTGATTTCTGTGGGTCTGTGGCTCCAATGAGTTTACGCCCATATTTGATCACACCTTCTCCTTCCCAAACCTATAGCAAGATTAATCAGCAGTGATATAAGGTATTGGTTTTCATATTATATAAAAAAAAAGGGAATGAGATGATTCTTGTATTGTTACCATGGCAAGAACAGGGCCAGAGCTAAGGAAGTTGCACAACCCATCAAAAAATGGTCGTTCCTTGAGATCATGGTAATGCTTCTGGGCGAATGACTTTGAAGGGGTCACAAGTTTAATAGCTACCAATTTGAACCCTTTACGTTCAAACCGAGCTATAATCTCTGAAATCTGGAACCAAAAAAAAAAAAGATAAGAAACATTCCGTTTATAAATGGTATATCTGAAAATATATAGAAGAATGATAGTTAGACTACCAGTCCTCTTTGCACACCATCTGGCTTGATAGCAATGAAAGTTCGCTCCATCTGCACATATTTGCAACACAAGGGGTCAATGATTCATACATAAATTAATCAGAAGAAGAAGAAGAAGAAGAAAGACTATCGAGCTATCAATCAAATTGTAATACCTCTCCTGCATGTGCCTCTTGCTCCTGTAGCATGTAAGCTGATACAAACAAAAACAAAATGTTAGTTAAATCTGGATGTAACTTGTAGACATGTTTTGATAGAGTAACATCAAAGGAAACTTGTAACAAATAATAGATACAAGTTACAACCTGCAGCAGGGAGTGCTAATGCTCCAGCGATCCATGTGCCGGAGGTGTTTCCAGATTTATCACGCCCAAAAGAAGCAACAGCTGGCAGCACTCCTTTGATCGAAACTGCTGTTGCAGCAGCAGCAGATCGTCCTTCTACAATAGGAGGAAGGAGATCGATAAGTAAACTTTACATTGTATCAAGATCTTGTGTACAAAGTATACTATATACAAACTGTTAGTCGAAGTCGTTATAATTGTTCTATATTATATGTTGCTACATTCATCCGATGCTTCCACTAGCATGTTAATGGTAAATTCAGATCTAAAGTGGGGGCGCACCGTATTCAAAAGATTGAGAAAAATCCGTCATCCAACTCGCAATGACAACCACATAATATTATTTTATGTTTTCAAAAGAAAAAGTAATAAACCATAACACGAAGTGGAAAACTCCGCCAAAAATGATTCAGTATTGTTCTAATTAAAGTAACCGAGAGTCATAATCGATGATTCATTTCACATATTAGATAATCAACTTTCTGGTAACGGAATTAACGTGCATCAGTTAAAATATATCGAAATATACAAATATACAATCTACAGTTTAGCAACAGACTCGTAACAATAAACTTAATCGTAATCAGATCAATGGAATAAAATAACTTGAATGGTAAAGTGTTAGAAAACTATACCGGAAAATAGACGAGGCTTCTGCTTAGAAGCAGAAGAGATGAAAGACCTAGCAGCTCGAGAAGCGGATCTGAATATCTGAGAACTCATTCTCCTCTCTTGATCGAAGAATTAGTCGGAAAGTAACAACAAAAACGAAGAAATCTCTTCGTTTTTTTGTTGTTTGGAGAGAGATTGAGACTAGAGCACCTCAAAGAGTGACCGACGGCGATTGGGTATTTGAGGTTCCCAACGTTGGTGGAAAGTAAGGGGAAAATAAAAAAATAGACCCTGAGGTTTTCCTTAGGTTGTAAACTAATCCATGGAGTTTAGAATTTGCTACATTTGGCATGTAATGCACTTTTCAGTATTGAAAAAAATAATAATAATAATAATGTTTGAAGTAAAATAAATAAATAATAATGTTTGAAGTATTGTAGAGGGCCCTATTTTAGAAGCATTTTAACATTGTCCTGAATTGGGCTCAAAACCAATAGGAATATGATGAGAAAAAAATATAATAACTAAGAAAATGACTTACTAAGAGTCTTATGTACAGCGGCGAAGCCATAATAAAATGTTAGGAATATCACACGTAATTTTAATGGTGACATCAGGAAATTTACACTACATCGAAAAATTCCCACTATGCCTAAAAATTTAAGGGGTATCACGAGCCTACCCCAGGCTCCTTAGTAGATTTGCCCCTGCTTATGTATTATTTGGTAAGTTGCTATTGATATGTTGATGGACAATCAATGTAAAAAAAACATGATTTTTTAATACCTTCATTTATTTATAAAAATTATATGGTATAATAGTGCAAAGAGAGTTTTATTTGAAGGTTACACCATGAATGTGAAGTAGATAATAGACATGAATGAATGAAATGTAAGATTGATTGATGTACTCAAAATTAGGCATAAAAGTAATCTTAAGAACTTAATATATCACCACATATATCTTGTTACTACCATATGTTAATGATAATGTTCTATATTAATGATGATTTGTCAAATATTTGATATTATCAATATTGTTGTAAGAAAACGATTCAAAAAAAATCTGAATTTGAATGAAATATTTATGAATATTATTATAATGTTTGACCGTTTTTTGTGTGAAAATAAAGTCTTATGAATAACATGTTAGTTGTTTCAAAGGAAATGTGATGGAGTACCGAACTAAACTAACGTTACTGATACTAGTACCAACCCAAGAATCCCAAGTACTAAAATAGGTGAAAGATGTTATCGAGTATTGAATTGAACTAACGTTACTGATGATACTGGTGCCGACTATAGTATCGTTTTTTGGTACTAGCATCGGTATCAAATCCCAAATTTCATGATTTTAAAGTATCAGATATCGTCTAATATTAATATAAACGGTGTCGATTCGTGTCGAAAATTTCAACAGTCTTGCTCCTCCCTAAATTTAATAACCTATAAACATGGTGCAATGGTTTAACTTAGCAATGAACAAAACTTGAAGGGTTTTGTATTTAAGTGATGTGAAGTTGAGGGTTGTTTTTATGTGAAGTGTACCAAATAATTTTGGAATCATATGCCGCGTGTGAGTTTGTCGAATCAGATATCAAAACTCAAAACCCTATGCGAGACGTCGACAAAAAAAAAAAAAAAAGTCGACCGTTAGATCCGCGCCACGTAGCTCAAGATGTGATCTTTCCAGCCATCCGTTGCGAATCACGTGGCTAATTAGTTGGCTTAATTTATACTGTTCCAGAGTAATTATGAAACAATTGATAGCAAATAGTACTTCTAAAATGGAATGAATCATTTTGGTACTTTGACTAAAATATTATTCAATTGATTGATCTTTAATTACTTTTAGAAATAATAGTTTCAATCACTTATTATCAAAAAGAAAAAAAAAAGATCTATTTTAAACTAGCGATTATATATATTTCAAAAATATTACGGGAACATGGCAAGGGGCATAATGATTAAGCACGATGCCTTTTTTTACATATTTTTGTTGATAATAATTTTTTTTTTGTACATTATAAAAAATATAATAATCACTTAACACACCAAAGCAAGTAAGAACGTTATAAATGTTATTCCTTCAAAAAGATCTCCGCTCCATTCCACTGCCAATAACACATTGATCAAAAACAGCAGATTAGCACCTGAAAATGTCATAAAAGTTATCGAATTTTTGGCACACTTTTTGCAAATTCCATTAGTCTCACATTTGACACTATTAATTTGTACAAAAGCTTTCCTAATCCACCATGAATGCGACTACCTATGCAACACACTCTAAATCTTATCAAGTTATTTAACAACTTAGAATCATATAGTGGTGCTTGATTGAGATCCCAATTTGCATTTGTCTTGCAATGCCGTCAACCAATTATCCACCTAACAAATAATAAAATGAAAATGTGATTATATGTACAAAATACAAATAATTAGTCAATGTGTCAACACTCAACAGAACAAAAATTGCATTTATTTTTTTTGTCCTAGCCAAAAAATAAAAAAGTGGGAGATAAACTCGGTCTCAAATTCTCTTATGAGAAAAAGACGTGAATGCCCTTCTCATCGTCATTAGTGAAAATAGCTTTAGAAAGCTTTTCTAGTCCCATGTAACAAAAACACAATATTAGAATGTGTGTACCTGGATTTTAGAAGTGCTTGAACACTCGTATCTCAATCCATACCGAGTTATTATATAAAAATAATATCGAGTTTCCCCTTCTTCTTGAGTAATATGTGGCATGGGCCCTACTTCAACAACATCAGATAACAGACACGAGTCCTGAGGACTTAAATCTGCAATGTGCAACCATTATTAGGCTACAAAGTTCATGTAAATCATCAAATCATATTATTCACAAATGAATCTTGAAGCATATAAAACAACAATGGCTATAATTAGTAATTACCCATGGACAGGAAATAGAAGAAGATGCATGGTCCTAGAAGAACAACAAAACGTGGAAGCCAATCATCAATTTCCATGTCATCAAGAGGGAGAGGTTCGCCAGGTAATGCTGCCCATCTCTGTGAAACATCATTTTAGGAAAATTTCTGCAAATAATGACTCCAAATCCAAAATCCAAAAAAAAAAAAAAGGAAAAAGAAAAGATTCAAGGGTAATACATTTCGCATGTGTAAGTAGCCAGAAAGATGAGCAGAACGAAGAATCTCATCAATATGTTCCAATCTGCATCAAGTAACAGAGATTACCAAAGATTAATAAAAAAAAGCATATTGCTAAAATACAAAGAGAAAGTATCAGTTCCCCTTACTTAGCTCTCAGAAGAGCTTCTCTTTCCTCCAATTCAGCAAGTTCTGATCGAAGGCTTTTTACTTCTTTAACAGATAACACAACCTGCTAAAATAAAATACATTCTTCAGGAAAGATCAAATGTGAGTTAAAGGATGGAAAGAAAATATGAAAATTATTCCTAATATTGACCTTGTCTTGCTCATCTGTGTCATTTCCCCAAGATAGTCTCCTTAGGCTACACAAGTTCAAGATAGATGCAGCACTCATTAATCTTCTGCTACCCCACAATCGGCTGCTTGAACTATGCTAATGCAGATCAAATGACTTGAATGAAATCAATTTATTGAAGATATTTATGATATCTGATTATATTCATGCCAGGAATCATACCTCAAATTCAGTTTTGGTATGAGAGAGTGACGAACTTCTTGATTGAGGGGTATCAACATCAGAAGTTGAAGCCTTAAAATGATCTGGGAAAATTTCTATCCCTTTAGGACCATCACCCATGGCTTGATTCCACTTCAATAAACTAGGCTCTGGACAATCTGAGATTCATTATGTTAAGTATTCTGAATTTGGAAAGCTGTCAATTCACAACACGCATAATAACTTTCACAAAGCAATAACTACAGAAAGAAACAGATGCTAAGATATGTCCTGCAAGAAGTTTGAATGATCTTCCAAATAGATGAAATAGCCGACTCTTAACTTTCAGTTTCAACGCATATAATACTATACCATCATTCCTCACGATTTCATCAACACTATTACAAACAGAGCTTAATTTAACAAAAACAACAAACGATAAACTATAGCCAATTCGGATCAGCTAGAAAAGCCCTCTGTTATCCGATCAATAAGCTACCAATAACAAATTTTAACAATCGAATAAGATTTATTTTTTAGTTTGCTGTAATCTCAAGCCCTACAAGATTTAGCTGAAAAAAATCAACAGATCAACTTTTTAAATCGAACAGGAAAAAAGGGGAAAATAAATTCGAGGGGTTAAACTTCAAATTACTATGATCATTCCAATATAATCTATAGAAAAGCATAAATTGTGCGGAATTCAAGAATTACAAGGGATCAAAGCACTAGCACGAAAACCTAGGATACAGACACAGCAACGACTTAAATCTATACAGGTATCAGCACACAGAAAACTTACAAGTTACGAGATTCTGAATACCCTAAGTCAGACGAATGGAGTTGGAGATGGAGATGGAGATGGCAGTGCTCTGTAATTGGATCGTTTTAAATATTTGATAAATACTCCAAAAATATTATTTGGCACTTTATCAATTATCATGAAAAAAATGTATATGTATATATGATATTTTATTTTCCATTGTTCTTCTTTCGAAGTACAAAAAAAATCAATATTATATTTTTTTATTTTGTACGAGATAAACGTTGTAATTGTTGTTAGAATATATTTAGAAAAAAAATCTCAAATAAAACATTAAAAAAATTGTATTTATATTTAGAAGAATAAAGACAATAGAGTTCATGGTATTAAACCGTAAGTTGTCATTTCATTCCTTTATGAATTAATAAAAAACATTAGAGCATTTTACGTAGTTTAATTTTTATAACGTTCGTGTTTTTCGTTAGGCATTAATTGAATATGTAACCGACGATGGTTAATAATTGTAATAATTTGATGATTAAGTAAAGGGAAATTATTTGAATATAAGTGATTTATGTGCTTATGTTATGTGTATATTATATTAGGCGAAAACTTAATAAATAGGACTAAAACATATATTAAAATAAAATATTAATTAAGATAAATAACCTTGATGAAAGTTGAAGTAGTTGTGATGAGGATTTTGGGGGATAAATATATCTTTCAGCTCATTTGATTTCCCACACCTCCCATCGCTTTCTCTTTCGATTTCTCTCCATTTTGGTCAGAATTATCTTTAGTATTTAGGATATTTTGGCGAAGCCTGAAGGTCCCTAAGAGCCGGTAATTAGGAGCTATCAAGTCGTAGTTCTGCCAGTGAATTTCCGGACTTTTTGTCAGGAAAGTCTCTTTAAGTTAAGCTACACTTATATTGCTTTTAGTGTAACTTATATTTATATCCATAGTCGTTATTATTAATTTATAAATAGATTTATCAGTGATTTCAAGTCGTTATACTTATTGATATACTTACGAGGGTGATGTCTAAGCTAAGATTTAGTGAGGTGTTTAAAATGGGATTTCCAAACAGTATACTCTGTATACCAAACGGACCCTACCTCCGATATTATCTTACATGGTTGCTCCTTACTTGATAGATCTTGATGTAGACATTGGGATTGTTGAGGAATCTAGACTATCATTAGTCATAAGAAATAATAAACTCAGACCTAGTGATAATTGAACCTAGGTCACATCAAAGGAAAGGCTAAGTACTAAAGCGAAGCTGTAACACCCTTAAAAATATAACCCGAAAATTTCATTTTTAAGTTTAACAATCATAAAGCAAACCATTTCATTTTTCTCAAAACCATGAAAACATAAGATAGTTTAGTTTTGCAATCCACGATACATAATAAATCACTATCAGAGTCATAATACCAAAATCACTAATGCGGAAAATCATGGTGTGATGCGATGCGATCAAGTCGACCCTTTCCCCTTCGAGCTGGAAGTACCTGAAACCAAAACTGAAAACCGTAAGCACAAAGCTTAGTGAGTTCCCCCATCATACCACATACCATACAACAAATACATTGCCAAACATATCTGGGTGCCGGCCTCCCCTTCGGTCTATTTCAACCGGATACTGTCGAGCATATCTGGGTGTTGGCCTCCCCTTCGGTCTATTCCAACCGGATACTACCGAGCATATATGGGTGTTGGCCTCCCCTTCAGTCTATTCCAACCGGATACTTGGTCTATTTCAAACCTACCACTACCACATAATATCATAGCAATTAAGCACATAAAACATAGCAGATAGCGGCATACCAGACAATTATTACAAAGACAATCATCTCTACTACAAACAACTACTAGTGGGCCGGCATTGGTGCCTTCGACCCACTCATACAGGAAGGTAACTCACCTCAATTGTGTGCCGAAATCGTACTCCTCGGATGGCTCGGGACTCCTCTCCCTAAAGCATAACAAGTCTCATGGTTAGTTATTGGGTCCTAGTATAACTCTCTTATGGCCCAACTTCTAATTCATGTCCCAAGGCAAGGTCCCCTAGTCCTTGCCCTAATAGGCCTTTTCCCCCAAGGCCCAATCCATAATCAATTTAAGGCTCAAGTCCATTACTTTAAGCTTTAAAGCCCAATTGGGCCCAAAAGACCCAATACCATAAATCTCAGTCTTAGGCCCAGAAGACGGGTGATAGCTTATGCTTCGCGGCAGCTGAAGCTGCACGAGTCGCGATATCTCACTCATGATCTGGAGTTGGGGGCAGTGGTTTTTGCCCTCAAGATTTGGAGGTACTATCTTTATGGGGTCTGTTGTACTATCTACACGGATCACAAGAGTCTGAGGCATATTATGGATCAGCCGAACGCCCGAACCTGAACATGAGGCAGCGCAGGTGGCTGGACGTGGTCAAGGATTATGACTGCGATATCCTTTACCATCCGGGTAAAGCGAATGTTGTGGCGGATGCCTTGATCCGCAAGTCGGTTGGGTCTTCAGATGGGGTGTCGTGTATGAGGATATCAGTTGATTCTCCGCTTTTGGGATTGATCAGGGAGGCTCAGGCCGAGGGAGTTCGGAAAGAGAACTGGAAGCAGGAGAGGATCAGAGGTGAGATTGACAGATTTGTCACGGATTGTTGTGGGTTGTTGACCCGGTGTGGTCGGGTTTGGGTTCCAGTTTCTGGTGGGATCAGGCAGATTGTATTGGAGGAGGCTCATAAGTCTCGTTTTTTATCCATCCGGGGGCCACCAAGATGTATCGGGATTTGAGATTGATTTATTGGTGGCCATATATGAAGAGGGAGGTAGCTTGGTATGTGGAGAGATGCTTGACCTACAGGATGGTCAAGGCTGATCATCATAGGACTCATGGCAAGCTGCAACATCTGGAGGTTCCCATGTGGAAATGGGAGCAGATTTCGATGGATTTTATCACCAAGTTGCCAAAGAAGGCAAAGGATTTTGATGTTATGATCGATTGACCAAGAGTGCCTACTTTCTGGCAATTCGGGAGAGTTCTTTGGCCGAGAAGTTGGCCAATGTGTATGTTCGCGAGATCGTTGCTCGCCATGGGGTTCTGGTATCCGTTGTTTCAGACCGTGATGTTCGGTTCACATCCCGTTTTTGGCAGAAGTTTCATGAGGAACTGGGCACGAGGTTGCACTTCACCACTGCTTATCATCCGCAAACCGACGGCCAGAGTGAGCGGACGTTACAGACCCTTGAGAATATGTTGCGGACATGTGTTATCGATTTCGGTGGGAGCTGGGACTCCTACCTGCCACTTGCAGAGTTTTCCTACAATAGCAGTTATCATTCCAGCATTGGTGCTCCGCCTTTCGAGTTCTTGTATGGGCGGAGATGTCGTACCCTGGTTTGTTGGGGCGACGTTGGTCACAAAGTTATGGGGCGGACTGAGGTGATCCTTCAGACCACAGAGCTTATTCAGCAGATCCGACAGAGACTGCAGACCGCTCAGAGTCGGCAGAAGAGCTATGCCGACCGACGTCGATCCGAGTTAGAGTTTCAGGTTGGCGATATGGTATGACTGAAGGTCTCACCTTGGAAAGGTGTGATACGCTTCAGGAAGAAGGGGAAATTGGGTCTCCGGTATATTGGGTCATTTCGAGTAATCGCTAGGGTTGGCAAGGTTGCTTACAGATTGGATCTTCCCGAGGAGCTCAGTCAAATTCACAGCACTTTCCATGTTTCGCAGCTATGAAAGTGTGTATTAGATGAGGATGCGGTGGTTTCCTTGGATGATATTCAGGTTGATGAGCGCCTGAACTATGTGGATAGGCCGGTGACTATCTTGGATAGAAAGGTTAAGGTTTTGCGTAACAAGGAAGTACCTTTTGTAAAGGTACGGTGGCAGCACCAGAGGGGATCCGAGTGGACCTGCGAGCCGGAGGCTGAGAGCGGGAGCATTATCCGAATTTGTTCACCGCAACAGACTTCGAGGACGAAGTCTAGTTCAAGTGGGAGAGAATTGTAACATCCCGATGTTCAAGTATTTCTAAATTCATCCCTATCATTTTATTATATGTCATTTTGGTCCCTAAGTCCAAGATATTATGCCTTAAAGCCCTAGTGGCAATATAGTAATTTCAAGCAGCAGGAGTACGTTAAGCGTACATGCGGGTACGTTGAGCGTACTAGGGTGCGCCCTAGTACGTTGGGCGTACTAATGTCAGGAGGAAACCGAAAGTTTTAGGGTTTGGGAAGTATTTAATCATCCTTATAGCTCATTTCTCTCCACCTTTTCAGCGTCTAAACCCTTTGAGACGTTTTTGCAAAACCCTAGCCCCTTAGTGTGTGTTTTGAGCTCAAGAGTGTGTTTTTGGTGTGATAAAGGAAGAAGGGGTTGCATCAAGGAGATTGGAAGCTTGAAGCAAGGCTTGGATCTGGAAGTTTTGCTCTTTTCTCCATCATCTCAAGGTATAATGTTCATACCTTGATGACTTGTTTGCTAAATCTCATTTTTTGGGTGTTTTTATGTTTCTTTTTGGTCCCAAATGCTCCATCTTGAGCATGACATGTTCTGGATGTTTTGAGTTGTCCTTTCAGACCCTTGGAAGGGTGCTTAGTCAAAAATGAGGTCCCAATGGCTAGAATTGTCTTATGCATCTTGTAGAGTGTAACGCCCCATTCCTGGTATGTAATTTAAATATTGAATTTCCTTTCTTAGGGTTACTCGACGAGTCAGTAGCCCCGACTCGTCGAGTAGAAGCGGGAATGCACGTGGACTTAGTGGGGCGACTCGACGAGTCCATTCCCGACTCGGCGAGTCTGCCAGTCTGGATGAAACCCTAATTCTTAGGGTTTGTACCCTATTTAAACGTCCTTATAGCCCCCATCCCAGCCCCCAGCACCTCTAGAGCGTTCCCCCTCAAAACCCTAGCCCTCCATTGGTGAGTTGAGTGATTCCTTCTTGATTTTGAGTGTTTTGGTGTATTCTTGGAAGTGTAGAAGAGAAGGAAGGAGAGAAGGTGCAAAGGAGAAGAAGGAGATCCAGAAACTAGCTTCCATTTGCTACTTCATCTGGTAATAAAGCCTCTACCTTGTTTATTTTCCTAGTAGATCTTCATATATGCTTGTTTTGCCACTCTTGGGACATTTCTGATGAGTTTTGAGCATTCTAACACTTCCTAAGTGTACATGCAACCCTAATAACCTTGGATCTATGTTTGTCTAATAATCATGCAAAGTTGAATTCCAAGGTTATATTCCTATCTAGCATACATGGGGAACATTTTTAACTTGAATGAAAGATAGAATAACTTACCTTGTTGTTGATTATGATCCTTGAAACCTTGTGAGCCTAGCACCCCAAGTGTGATGCCTCAAATGCTTCACACAACACCAAATGCAAAGGAGTAAACTTTGAGAGAATCTTAAACTTGCAAAATCGGCTCTAGCCCTCTTGTTTCTTAGTGTAGCCCATTTTTGGTGGAGAATGGGTTTCTTATATAGTGTTGACACATCTAGGGTTACACCATGTAAACCCTAATGTGTCATGACTCTTCATTTCCATGACCCATGGGTTTGTAACTCCCATGGAGCATCCATGGAGCATCCTATGGGTGGAACCCAACTTGATAATCCATGGAGCCTCTTAGCTCACTATATAAGATATGGAAGATTTACATAATCTACCCATATATTTAATTAGTTATCTTTTGATCACTTAATTAATTCTAAATTAATTCTTGATCAAACTAATTAAATAATATTATTAATATATTAGAACTTATAATATATTAAAAAACCATAAATATTATTTCTCTCATTTTAGTTTATCCAATTGCATGGTGCCATGCAACCCAAATGGACCATGCCGGGTCGGGTCAAGTACATACCAGAAATAGTTATGGACTTAGACACCTTATCCAACAATTTCAAGGTCCAAACTCGAGATTGGAGCTCCCTTAGGGTAGCGAACTATAGATCTGGACATCATTGAGCTCCAGGAGCTCAAAGTAGCTACCTTTATGCAAAGCAAGGCCTTGTTCCAAACCCTAGGTTCCCATTTCTAGCTTATTTTGGTGTTTTAGCTTCATACCTCTATGCATGTACGTAAAGTTGGCAACTTTACGTGTTATATCGGCCCTAGAAGCTCAGATCTATGAATTTGATGCACTGGAATCGATTAGAATCAACTGTTTAGTGAAGACATGAATAGGACTCGACGAGTCGTTCATTGGACTCGGCGAGTAGGAGTGCAAACTCCCGATTTCTCCGATTTGAGAGTTGCGAGTTGAATCAGTGAGTGGAAGAGGACTCAGTGAGTTAGAACAAGGATCTGAAAGTAGAAGGACTCGACGAGTCTACGCCCCGACTCGGCGAGTCGAGTCGCGAGTTAGAGAATTGTGAGTTAGGGAACTCGGCGAGTCCATAGTAGGACTCGGCGAGTAGAGTCAACCTGGAAGTTGACTCTGACCAGGGGGTAAATTGGTCATTTACTCCATGAGGAATCATCAGTTGATTCAGAATGTTATGTGATTGTAGCCGGGGAGTCGCCGGAGCAGCGGACAGGGATTTCTCACTCGGGATATCAGCAGCCAGTTATACGAGGTGAGTTCTCCTTCAGTAAGAACGGGTCTACAGCACCAAGGCCGGCCCGTAGTGTGAAATGATAGTAGCTGAGTGTGGGCGGGGACCGTATCCTATCCTAGCAGAGCATGGGCGAGGCCCGTATCTCATAGTAGTAGTTAAATATGATGTATGAGCAGTAGATTAGCTTTACATGTTGTATGTGTGATACTTGTATGTTGGGTTTAGTAGTTGAGTGTGGGCGAGGCCCGTATCTCGAAGTAGCTGAGCATGGGCGAGGCCCGTACCTCAAAGATAGTGGAGTGTGGGCGAGGCTCGTATCTCCTAGACAGTGAAGTGTGGGCGAGGCCCGTATCTCCTAGATAGCGGAGTGTGGGCGAGGCCCGTATCTCCTAGTTGCATGCTATGTGTAGATGGTATGTGGTAGATTGGGGAGACTCACTAAGCTTTGTGCTTACTGTTTTCAGTTTTGGTTTCAGGTACTTCCACTAGCACTGGGAAGGGCTCGGGATGATCGTTTGGCACATACCACAGTCTTCAGCCTGGGAGCTAGACTCTGATATTTGGATATGAGATTTGATTTGAGACAGATACTATGATGTTTATGATGCACGATTATGATTTTACTTATGATTTTGGATGGTTGATGGCTTTAATAATGTTTTGAAAACGAAATTTTTGGGTTGTATTTTTGGGACGTTACATAGAGGGTCTTAATGGATTAAGACCTTGTGTTAAGGACTTTTTGGGCGTGTAAAGTCATAAAGTTGGAGACTTTATGACTCTAGGGTGCATTTGGACCATAGATCTGAAGTTTGGGCTTGAGTGTTTAAGCCATTAAGCACTTAATGAAGTTGTGGAGTTTGTGAGGGTACGCCCCGCGTACTCGGTCGGCCACCCTGTAATCTGGTCAACGCAAGGCTTCGCGTGAGTGTACTTCTGGGTTACGCCCCGCGTACTCGCATGAGTCAGCCTCGGTTGGGTTGACTCGGTTGGGTTGACTCAGTTGGTTTATTGGGTTTGACCAGTTGACTTTGAGTTTGACCAAGTTTGACTTTGAGGGCATTTTGGGATTTCGATGGAATTGGTCACTTGGTGGATTTAGGTATTATGTTGAGAGATGAGATTTGGAGTCGAGCCTCATCAGTTCTATCCAGTTGCGAGGTGAGTTGTCCTCACTGTACATACGGGTCGAAGACACCACGGTCGGCCCTTTGGATTGTTATCCTGGTTTATCGTATGATTGTGTGTTGTAGTGATCTGTTAGATCTGCATCCTGGTAGATAGGATGATGTTATGCTTAGTGATCTGTAAAATCTGTCTGTTTGTTTACTGGCTGGTTATTGTATGCTTATGTGTTATATGTGCACATGTTTGGTCGGTGGCTGAGGCTTCATTGCTTTGTGCGTAAACCAACAGGTCGGGGCATTCCAACCCGATGGTTGAGGGCCTAGGGTATTCCATCCCGAGGATGATTGGACTCATAATATGTTGGTATTCCAACCTGATGATTGAGGGTCTGGGGTATTCCAACCCGATGGTTGATTGGACCCATAGTATGTTGGCATTCCAACCCGATGGTTAATTGGACCCACATTATGCTGTTATTCTATATGTGTTATTTGTTGTGTGTTGGTATTTTGGGAGAACTCACTAAGCTTTGGGCTTACAATTTTTATGTTCCAGGTACCTCAGATGATCGCGAGAAAACAAAGGCTTGATCGTGCACCTCCTCATGTTTTGTTTTATGATTTTGGGAAAACTATGATAATAAACATGTTTTTGAAACTATTTTGTAAACAATGATGGTTTGTGGAATTGTTTGAAAAGTTTAAAACTTTCATGAAATTTATGGATGTTACACGAATCGTCCCTCGTGCAAGTGTCAAAATGCACGTTCAATCCCTATTTTCAAAAATTAACTCGAACCGTCTCTCGTTTGTTTAAAATGTTTACGCTTCGTCCCTAGTATGCGGTTTTGTTGCGAGTTTAGTTCATGCCAAATCTGAAATGACCATAATCCCCTTGTTTATTTATTTTCTAATTATTTTTTATTTATTTATTGTTATTAATTATATTTAGAAAAAATGGTTCATCCTTTATTCATTGCTTCTCTCATTATGAACAACCAAAACCTCACCTTCACAAAAAAAAAATAAAAAAAAATAAAAAATAAATCACTAACACCACTACCGTCGAGCCACCATCGTCGGACCACCGACCACCACCGTCGCCGAAGAATCGCCCGCCACCATTGTCGAAGCACCACTCACCACCATTTTCATTGTTCATAACTACAACCTCTCTCTCATCTTTCCTTCTCCGATCGGATACCCCTTCTTCTCCGATAATCAACCAATACTCCCTTGTCTCAGATTTAAGATCTCTTCCACCTTGTCGGAAACTAACAGCCTTCACACATACCTGTTGTAGCACCGTTAACCAACAATAATCGTCAAAATCACTATCTTGTAATCTACTCCACCAGTCAACCATCATCTTTATTGTGAGCCACCTTCAACCACCGAATACAACTCTTGTCCCGTCGACCACCTTCAACCACCAAGAACACAGACCAGATCTAGCTTTCACGGACACAATCATGGTCGCCACTTAGGGTTTCAAATCGTTGCCTAGGGTTTCGAACGCCGCCATCGATCTCCATTGGCTAGGGTTTCGAGATTAACGATTTTCGACGTATCTTAAGATCGATTTCCAATAAGTTTCAGTCCGACCACAAAACCTTGTCAGATCTAGGACCTCAACATCCTACCTCGCAAGCATCTCAATCATCAACTTGCAGCTTTGCCATTTGAACAGTCCATGGATATGTACCATTTAACTCCAGAAGCACCAAAATGACTTTCTTAGAGTCCTTCCTAAAGAAACCCTCCTCCACAAATTCCCCCTTTCAATTCCGGTCAAGATGATGACTTTGATCCCTAAGAACCCATGATTGGACCGACTTTCCCTTTGCTTCCTTGCAATTTTGGTCAAGAAAATCCAAAGATTCCTCCCTTACAATTCCAAGAGTATAGTCGTTAATCCCATACTAACTGCCCCTTTGCTCACCCCGGTGAAAAGACTATGGTTTCTGAAAGATCAAGAGAATAAAGGTTTCCGATGGCAAAAAAAACTGAAAGGAAAAGAAGAGTTTGACAGACTTGAGTGAGGAACGATTGCTTAATATGTCATCTTCCAATGGTGTTCTTTTGGGTGGAGTGAGGAACAATTGCTTGATATGTCATCTTCCAATGGTGTTCTTTTGAGTGGAGAGAGAGGGGTGTGTGAGACGATTAGAGAGGGATGAGTAAGTATGAAAGTGTATTGGAGTTCTTTTGTGTAGACCCTTAAATAACTTACTTCATATGATAATAATAATAATTTATGTGACAACCAAAGTTTAAGAGTATTAAAGAAAAAATCATTAATAATAAAATAGTCAATTTAAGTCTGGTAGAGACTAAAAATAAAACAAAACCAAAATACCAGAATGGTCCAAGTTAAAATATAGGAACGTAAATTACACCAAACCACAGGGGCATTCATGTAATTTACTCGATGAAATTATTATAAGCATCTTCAAAATGTTTATAATGTATATAACTTTTAGAAATAAAAGGCATTACTCGTAGTAAATAATTATATATTTTCAAGTTGTACTCTTACCCAACCACTGAATTTTGCATCTGCGGAGGATCAGGATGGGAATACAAACCCAATAAATATTACGGTCAACGGTTATTATCGAACTTGGTATATAAGAAGCAAATGAAATATAATAAAATTATTACTTGTCCCATTTGGATTGGGTCATTGTACTTGAACAAAATGACTATGATGTGTCACGTTCTGATTGGCTGACTGTACTTTGTTTTACCAATAGGTGCAAGTAACCGTGTAAGTGTAACCAATAGGATCTCCCCACATAATTTGTCTTGGGGACCAACAATAATAAGCTTTTAAGTTTTCAGTGTGTGTTTTATTTCCCTTTCTCTGATATTACATAGTATTAGATATTTAGATAAGACAGCCGTGTTATTCGACACTTGTCACCCATGTACAAATGTCACGTCTTGTCATCTTTTGGCCTCTCATTATTTATAAATAAATTTATTTAAGTAATTTAAACAATTTGACAAAGCTCACACAATGGTCTTATGTTTTAAAGAAGCTTTTTTCATTTTTTTTTATTTTTTTTTTAATAAAAACTCCCCACATAAGATTTATTTTTAGTGATGAAAAAGTAAGTATAATAAGCAGAGTTGATTTGTAAGTAATAGAATGCTTACCAGCAAAATGGATGGCTGGTCAGAAGTCAGAACTTGGTTGCTGCTTGCAAGATTTACCTGCCAAGAAAGGGATCAAAGGAAACAGCAATAACAACTACTACTACACAGACAAAAGGTAAGCTAAGCTAAGCTAAAATAAATACAAGGGAAGGGAACAAGTTTTATTGATGAAAGAAAGAGAAGCAACGATAATAGATGAGACGGATTAGAAAGCTCAAAATAATATAAGAAAAAAAATGTCTCATCAATGTGTACTTTTTTCAGGAGAATGGTTGTCAAGTATCCGACTTAGATTTACTTTTGACCCAAATTCAATTGACTCTCCTCCCACATCCACATCCACATCCACACCATTCTTCTCTTCTCTTTTCTCCATCTCTGCTTCTTTCTCTTCTTGCTTTACATCATCCACCTCCATGTTCTTCGCCTCATTACCTTCTTCATTCACATCAGGATTAGGATTTGTATCTTCAACCTTTTCGATTTTAGATTCTTTGCTAATCTCCATAGCACCTTCCTCCTTTCCAGTTCCACCACCATCATCATCATCATTCTCTGCATTATTATCACATGCTGGAACTACCTCTGTAACTTTAATCTTCATTGAATCCAACTCTTCCTTTTGCTTCTTGTAAACAAACATGGCTTTCTGCACCAGTAAAAGTACAATAACATATTAATTAATTAATAAACCACCATTAACCCATATTTACAATAAAAACTTAATCTTCAGCAACACCAACCTCAAACACAGAATCATTTATTATGCCACCAAACAAGAAACCACCTTCACTAACATTGCCTTCTACACCCTCCTGCAACACAACACGACATAAACACAAATTTAATTCACACTTACTTAACTGAAAACGCTAAGTAAAACCATCCATCCATCATCTTTACTATTTACCTCCAAAAACAATATCTTGCAGTCAAATTCATCATCATCTGTGGATAACAACGGTTCCATGATCATACTTGTGCACTGTTGATAAACCTCAGGTTGGGTAAGATCTTGAGATACATCAACCCTGGAAAGATAAACTTTTTGTGAAACAAGACTAGTATTCTCCTCCTCCTTTACACCCTCAAACATCTGAAGGCTTCCAGTCACTTTCTCAGCTTCAGGAACAACAACAGCATTGCCATTGAAGGTTGAGGTCTGAACATCCATCTGATTCTGATTCTGCTCATTCTCAATCTCATCACTTGCTTTCTGAGAACCAGATTGCACTTGCACATCCATATTTACTCCACCAGCATTCTTCCACGTGTCACCACCACTAGCCTCCCACCCACGGTTACCCATTTGGTTTCTCCGGTCCCAATCAACCCGCCCGTATAAATGAGAATGAGACTCATCACCAAACACCGAATTATTGGCAGCATCCCATCCATGCAAAGCTGCTGATGGTGGTGGGACCGATTCATCCCGCCATTGAAGAGGTCGACCATGGTCAGGAACATGGTAAGGCAAACCAGGGTTTAACTTCATCGGTGGTGGTCTACCAAATATTGGTGGTGGGAACTGCTGCATGAGAGGATGAAACATGGGAGGTGGGACATGCTGGAAAGGAAGGTAACCACCAGGTGCCATTGGTGAACCCCAATTCGGGACATTTTTCCAGTTCCCTTGACCTCTGTTCATGTTCATATTCATGTTCATGTTCATGTTCATGTTGTTATTAGACTCACCACCCATTCTCCTGTAACGATTATTATTATTATTATTATTATTATTATTCGACTTATTCCTATCGTCTTCTGTTGAACCAAAAAATGGGCTATCAGATCCTGGTCTGAAGTGAGAAGAACTTCTTGTGTAAGGTGATGAAACAGATAGATTGTCTCCATCTACTTGTGAGTAATCATTATCAGGATGTGTCTCCTTAACAGTATGATGATGTTCCTTTGCATCCTTGGACCCCCCTGGCTCTTCATCACCACTTCTTCTAGATGAAGGGGATTTATCCACGTCATCCTTCGCGTTGACTTTTTCCATTGACCTGGAAGATAGCTTATTATCAGAAGTGAAATCTCTATTATTATGATTATGCCGACCTCTATCTTCATACACACTCTCCCTATGGCTATGCTTGTTTTCTTCCTGCTTTGAAACCCTGAAAAATGCAACATATATACATATATTATAAATTATAATAACAAGAAATTATGAAGAGATGGAAATTATCAAACTACCTGTGATGATCTCTAGAAGGGGAACTCCTACGACGGCTGTGGCTATGGCTGGCTGCAACTTCCATGTCAGCATAACGAGAAGAAGGTCTTATCCTTTCAGAGGCTGAGTCTACTACTTTGGTACCAGATCTTTTTTCTGATTGCTCTTTCATGCTACGTGATCTATACTCACTACCCTCTTCTTTATCATTATTATTACCTCTTCTCCTATCTTTATCATCTTTATATCTGGAAGCTCGATCATCATACACATTATCATCCTTCATACGTTTGGCTTCAGGTTCAATGGAGGTGTGTGTGTCTTTGTACTTGGAATCCCTTGATCTCTTCTCTCTATCTGCATCACGATGCTTATCTTCCTTATGTCTATACTCTCTCTCATCATCTTGTTTGCGTTTGCTTCTTTCTTCTTTATCACCACTTTCAACATACTTGTCATCTTTGTATTTGCTGTCTCTATGACCATCTTCATTGTACTTATCTTCACGGTGTTTATCTTTATCTGCATCCCTGTGTTTGCTATGTCTTTCACTTTCTCTTTCTCTTTCTCTTTCTCTTTCTCCTCGGTGCTTCACATCCCTATTCTTCCTATCATCTTCTCCTCGGTGTTTTTCGTCTTTTTGTCTAACACCCTCTTCCCCATGTCCTTCATCCTTGTGTCTTTTAACAGACAGCCGCCTATCATCACCTTCTTTCATGTCATCTTGATATTTGTCCTTGTCACTAGAAGCTTCTCCTCTTCTTCTCATCCGCTTCTCAAGCTCCTTCTCTAACTCAGGGTTTCTCAACCCTTCTTCTATAGGCCAATCTGGTAGAAGATGAAAAAAGAGCAACAGTCATTAGTAAATAGTAATGGTGTCCTTCAAAGTAATAACTAATGGTCAGACATCAGGCATTAAGGCTACCGGTCGACAAAAATTAGTGTTTTGTGTCCTGTTCTGCAAATCTTGTGAAATTAAGAACCTCAACAAATAAATTCTGAAGCACATTCTTGACAAAATAGAGCCA